ATGTACAATTGTTGTTTAATTTCTCCCAGCGATGATATTCAGCTCGAGAAACATTTGTGTACTGCCATCTATTGGCATAGTTAAGAATGAATTCTAGAGCTGACCAGGCAGCTAAGCATGGCGTGTCCTATACCTTGGGTCCAGGGGTAATCAGTAGCAAGATACCCACTACTGAGCTGCACAGCAATGACCTGCCCAAGGAACATGATCAACCTCTGATATTTAGGAATGTCAAAAACAAGAGGAGAAGGAATGTGTTTATATCTATTAATATTCATACAAGGGAACATACAAGGTGGTTTGTCTCCTATGTACCTGCCTATTCGATGTGTAGGCGTTCTGATGTTGTTTGAAGATAAGACAGTGCCTTTTGAAACAGACACTAAACGTGAGGTTCATCTTCTCACACAGAGTCTGAGACAAAGACATAGTCTTACCCTTAATCTGTGAATGCACAGCGAGGTGACATCCTCTGGGATGACCTGGTATTTTGGAAATGTTGGAACAGCCTAGGGGAATCACCCCTTTACTGATAGACAGAGGTGGGCAGGTGTCCTCTAAGCTACAGAACTGAAGGCTTGTGCTATTCCACATTAACAAATCAATCCCAGAAATAACAGCGGAAGAACAGATGAATTGAGGCCTCAAGCCGGTACCTTCTGTTCTGCCATTGACTCTGCAACATCATCAAATCTCCGGAGGGACAGGGTTCGGCAAAATGTTGCTCCACCCCTGACAAAGCACATGCAGTAAATCTCCACTATCCTGCCACTTATAGAGTCTTACAGCACAGAAACAGGCCCTCGTCCATGCCAACCAAGTTTCCCAAACTAAACTAGTCCCACTTATCCTCCATTACATTGATCCTGAGCACAACATTCCCATGTTACTAGTACCTTAAAGACTGTTACTTTCTAAACCCAATGACATCGTTCCCTGCTTGGCCTTATCTTTATAATTCTCCGTTCCATTTCTGAAGCGCAGCTTATTGAACCAACGCCAAGTTGACGACTTTCGCTGAAGGAGCTGACTGCGGATGCATACAGGAATTCCTAGCCTGTGCTCCCTACAGCTCAGGCAGTGTGTTGGGATTGGCCCTTCACAAGGCGACCCATTGTGGGAAACCTGAAGATTGTGCGTTTATACCCCACTCCAGGGCTTCAGCACGAGGCTAGGCTGATGCCACCAACAGCAGTTCTCTTCTGGTCGACATGCCATCTTTTAGATGAGACAGTAAACTGAAATGCGACAGGAAGTCTTGTCGTTCCGGTGGGTAATATCTTTTCCTCTGTGCCAGAAGCTCCAGGGGAGGTCCCACAGGGGCTTCATTGCCACAGAAAGAGTGTAATACTGCAGCTAGGCAGACTGATTATCAATCTGTAAATATCTTCAGGAAGAGGTGGTACGTGGATATGCTGGTGGCCAGACAGGATTGTGTGGTAGCTACAGCACAGCGGTCTACCTTCATTACAAGACTCCACAAACAGGTTCTTGCCATGAGTAAGCATTCTTCTCATTTCCAAGGGCAACTACGCACACACAAACTGAAAGGTTGCCAATTCTTATTGGAATTCCTGAGCAGAATCGTAGAATTGCACTAAAGGAGGCCATTCAGCCAATTGCAACTGCACCGGTTCTATTACCAAGTGCCAATCTCCCCATATTCTTGCCTGCCCTTTCTATCCAAACGACCATCCAATGCTCTCTTGAATGATTCATGTAACAGACTGTCTTCAACCAACTCCCTCAGCCAAATAGACCTTTCGTCCCATCTCCAACATGTTTACCACTAATGCACCAGAGTATTTAATGTAAATGGAAACAAACATGACTTTTTTTTAATGCCTTGGCAATTGTTTTCATAGACTGCACATGAGGTGTGCCTTTAATTCCTGAAGATTACAGCTTGGACCTATGTTGAACTGGAGTTTCCAGTTGTCTGTATGGAGAGACAAGACCATCTGGCAATATTTAAAGCAAGAAGTTCCTGTCCAACACTCCCTGCTACAGCTAACACAACACCAGCACAAAATCACCCATCATCTCAATTGCTCATTGTGGGATCTTGCTTTGTCTAACTCTGCTTCCATGACAACAGTGACTTCTCTTCAACAAAGCCATTAATTCAACATGAAAAGATTTGGGGCTCTGCAAGAAACCATAATATAAATACTAGTGGAAGGTTCTTGTGGTACAGCGGTAGTGTCTTACCTCTGAGCCAGGAGGCCCAGGTTCATGTCCTACCTGCTTCAGGCATGTAAAAGAGCATCCCTGAACAGGTTGATCAGGAAAAGATCAATAAATGCAAAAGATCTCTCACTGACCTCCTCTGGATCTTTGAAACCACAGAACAAAGGCCACAGAGAAGAAGCCAAGTGCGCTGGCTAGGCATTCTTGGAATTACCTTTCATTTTTCTCTATTGTATGATCTTAACTGATTTCGTCAACAAAGCTACAAATAAGCCCCACTTAACAAGTGGACTTACTCAGATCCTGTAGACTGTGGGAAGACATGATGACAGATTATTTATCAGACTCATTCACATTTGTGGCTGTATTGAATAAATATTCTAGTCTGTTCTGCTAAATATGTGTCTGTACCTTGATCCTGTTAAATGTGGTAGAGTTTGCAAAGTGCAAAAAATGTTAGTCTAATTATGTCCCTGGTAGCTCACCAGAGAGATTGTAATATTGGCAGTCACAAGTTGTTCATAGTGTTTGGAACAGATTATTCATTTAGTCACCCATTCAATTCACACATTCTAATGTGATTGAGATCCAAGTGATTGTTCAAAATATCTGCTAGATTGGCAGCTTAGAGTTGGAAAGGCAGAGGGGAAAAGCTTGACTTTGTGCGATTATAATAAGTCATAACATTTCTGACTGTCCCATGTTATATTTTCTTGGACCACTTTCACTCTTTTGACTATCAGCATCTTCCCCACATGGTTTCAATGCTCTTTCAATGCTCAAGAGTATCTGTTGAGGAACTGGGGTCAGATGTTAGCTGAAATCCTGCCAATTGCTTCAGTCAGTCTGAGTCACTCTTGGAACAACAACCTAATCAGAAGATCTGTGATAGTGCCCCATCCTATACAGTGTTTTGCAAAATAATTCAATTGCACAGAAGAGGCCTGTTTTCATTTTCAGAAGCTGAATAAATCTTGTAATTACCACAACTATTGCAAAAGAGACATGTGACTGCATCCTTTACTCATCAAGACAAACAAAAGAATGCCAAATTTCAAGTAATCACAAAAATCAGAATCAATCTGCCAGCCAATTAGTACTCTTTTCTCCTGCTGTATAAATAGTTGTGACACTTGAAATTTGGCATTCTTGCAGGTATCCTGATGAGGGCAAGAGGAAAAGCTTCAGTCATGTCTCTTTTCAACAACATTCAAGAAATGTACCATCCAGCAGTTATGAACATATAGCTTGTAGTGTTCATTTATTCCCATTTATAGTTTAAGCCTTGTCTGGGATCAGGTGTATAATTCAGACCAATTGAAGATGAGACAGTTGGAGGTAGTGTATTGTAATCAGCTGGATCAGGGCTCGCTAGTCTTGCTACATGTTCCTAGATATTATGTGAAAGGGAAATGAGGCCTTTTCACCAGCTGTTGCAGGGAAGTAGAGAAAATGTCACCACAAATTTGACAGCACATTCTCCCACTGCAGCTTTAGGCCTGTGCAATGTGATTGGCCCTTTCTTATAAAAAGGGTCAAAGATCATCAAGTGCAGTTTTGGGCAGAGTAACATTCCCTCCACACTATCCCAACAATGGGCTTCAACATCAACCTCAAAGAACATGCCCTTACTGCTTCAGAGTTTCATTATTTCCATTGGCCACACTCAGGCCTTCTCAAGGCCTATCTGTGTGAGACCGTGCTTATTACTGTCAAAAAAGGGTCAAGCAAACTGGAACAGGAACCGAGAGAGCCCAAGATCATTTCATGTTGGAACCCTTGCAACTGGCAGATGGAGGAAATGCTGTTCTGTTAGATGTCAGAGATGAAAGGACAAAACAGGGGTTTCAGGTAGATTTCAGTTGCCCCAACTCACCTTTCTGCCCAATATTTATGTGCTTAGACCCTTGCATAGGGATCACATTTGCTGTTATTACTGTTTTATTCCTGCGTACACAATCATTCAAAAGACAGACTTCATATCAGGTCTAGACTATATTTCAAGTGGAACCTACCGTCCAAGAAGTGAATTTCAACAGAGCAGCCTGTCCCTGATCAATAATAAACCTGGGTCCAAAAGCCCTAAAGGGGGTTGCAATGTCCTCTTTAAAGGAAACTCGAGGCTTTATTATCAAACCTTTGAACAATTTCCTAGAGCAGAAGATCCTTGTTAAGAGCCCCAGTATCTGGTGGTTGCCATTCACTGAAGTAAAAGATTGTGCGGGATGAGATATTTTTGAGCTCAATGTGTACGGACTGTCTGTGCTGGGTGGGAGATGGAGTCAGCGCCTCCATTTCATCCCATTGCTTGTTTCCCAAGTACCGAGCTCCGATACAGCACATCCAATCTACCATAATGGTAAGCCAAGGTTAGGGACAGCCTCACCTTACTGCATCATAGTGGGACATTTCCACTTCCATCGCTAGACAATCTTAAAGCCTTCAAAGTGCTCAAAGTCAAACTGTAAGTAGATTTAATGGGCCGAATGGCCTGCTCTTGTTCTTAGTTCCCTTATCTTAAAACGTAGCTTTAACTCTAGTAATTGCATGGGCAAAGCTCACAGTGGGCAGTTTGGAGCTGTGTGTTCACCAAACAAGTCAGAGGAAATCCGACTGGGCCTTACAGAGGGAGAATCGGACCGGGCCTTACAGAGGGAGAATCCGACTGGGCCTTACAGAGTGGAAGTCTGACTGGGGATTACAGAGGGGGAGCCTGACTGCGCATTACAGAGCTGGGGTGGGGTCTGACTGGGGATTACAGAGGGGGAG